GTCAAAATTCATTATTGTGAATTGAATTCCATTATGAAAACGTAAACAAAGTTCAAATTTTTGACATTAGACTTGAGAAAAAAAACAGATTTTTCCGATTTCGATTGCTACATGGGTGACCTTATTAATTGATCTTCATGGCCTATAAATAAGGTCACCCAGGGAGACCAGCTGGATATCTGCGCCACTCAAGTTTGCTGTCAAAATGCATTCTTGTGAATTGACTTACATTATGAAAACGTAAACAAAGTCGAAATTTTTGACATTTGACTTGAGAAAAAACAGCTGTTTTCCGATCTTGGTTCGAAAAGTAAAGAAGCGACTTGATCGAAACCCGCGTTGCAGTGGCCGAAAAAAAGCAGAACATATCGCAATATTCCATTCGGCAAATATTGAAAAATGAGCTCGGTTTCTATATGAAGGAGTTGCCAGATCTAAACATAATTTAACATGTGTTCATAACAGAGATTGAAGCTTCCAAAACACTTAACTTTTTTCTATTTATAACGCGCTTTTTGTACTAGGCTTGCATTTAAGGTCTTTCTGAAAAATAGTACTGAATTTTCAAAGATATATTTCTCAACACATAGACGCTTGGTATAATTATTACAAGGTAGGGCACAGCTACCAACAGATTACAATTTTTTCTCAAGGTGACTTGTTCAATCAAATCAAAATACATATTTTGTGTATGTGTGTGTATTGTTTTTAATACAATGTCAAATAAATTCAAAATAAATTGAAATATATTTAAGTTTAATTGAAATGAAAATAAAGTTTTTAAAACGATCGTCAGGAAGTAATTACTTTGTTATAGTTTAAACAAAAATTTTATGGTATTCCCTACTGGATTTTGGGAAGAAATCATAACCTTTCATTCATTTTTCGCGTTTTTAGTTTTGTGTTGAAAAAATGTCAAATAAACACAAACACTTGTTGCGTATATTTATTTTATTTTTGACAGAAGAGGCCACACGTGCATAGTTGCTTTTTTGTTATTCAACTCAAGCTGCCCTACCTTGTATTATTGTACCATGCATAGACTTAGATTTTAAAGAAACCTTCCAAAACAAATAGGTGTAGATTTTTAAGCAGGAGTGGACGTTTAAAGCGAACTTCCAAAACAAATAGACGTCGTTTTTAAAAGAATATTTTTTAAGGGCTTATATAAACACCTAGGATTTTAATACAGACTAACAGACCAATATTTTTTCATGGAGCTATAAGCGCGAATTATTAAAGAATATTTCTGTAAAGACTAATAGTCAAATAGGCGTGGATTTTCATAGAATGTTTTCCCAATGGCCATTCCCACATTAAAAAGAAGTGAACGTTTAAAGAGACCTTCCAGAACAAATCGGCGGCGTTTTTAAAACAATACTTTTTAGGGTTTATATAAACCTAGGATTTGATTATAGACTAACAGACCAATATTTTTTCATGGACTAATAAGCACGGATTTTTAAAGAATTCTCTGTAAAGACTAACAGGCAAATAGGCGTGGATTTTTATAGAATTTTTTGCCAAGGGCCATTAGACCACCAATATGGATTTTTAATAACAAATTTTTTCAAAGAACTTCCAAAACAAATAGGCGTGAATTTCCAAAATTGGATTGGATTTAAGTTATCCGAATTCATTATTTTTGAAATTTGCAGAATCAAGCCGTTAGATTTTAATATTTAAAGTGTTCAGATTTCTCTTCTTTTTTAGCAAATCAAATCCAATTATTTTCATAACAGAGCTTTTCATTATTTTTGGGATATACTTTTTTCTGTAAAAAAGAAACGTTTGTATGTGTTTTTTATTATTTAAAATTTACTTTATTTTATTTAATAAAATATTCAGTTTTTTTGTTTATCTCAGAACTATTTTTTTTGTTTTTATGGTGTTAGGGTTTCTTTTCTTTTACTTCGTTTTTTATGGGTGTATGTTTCTTTTTTTCTTTTACTTCGTTTTTTATGGGTGTATGTTTCTTTTTTTCTTTCTTTCGGATATTTAAAAATATGTATAGTTATAGTTTTGTATTATATAATTTTTAGATTTACTTTGAATACACATTACATTTTCATAAGTGGGGGAGAGGGAGGGATGAGAGGGGTTGGTGGTTTTTTGTTTTATATTTTTTAAGATTTTCTTTTTTAGTTTTAAATAAAAATTTCGTTCCTAAATTCTAAGGTTTTGCTTTTATAAATATTTACAAAACACCAAAAATTAATTAAAATCAAAGAAAAAAATATGTAGGCATGATAGAAAAAAAAATAATAAAAACATGTGTATGTATAAAATTAAATATAAAGGATATATTCATTAAATTAAAAAAAAAAACATTACTGTTATTATTATCAGGAAAAAATAATAAAAATAAAACATAAAATATATATGTACTTTAAATAAGTTTTGTTATAATATGTGATTTACTAATTATTTGCCATTTTTTGTTTTCTTGTTTTTTTTTTTTTTTTTTTTTTTTTACTTGAAAAAGTATAAAATTTGTTATTATGCAGCAGATATTTTGCTGATGCCAGTATTTAGCACCAGTTATAAATAGACAAGTTTATTTTAATTTTTTTTCGATAAAAACTAAAAACAAAAACATAACTACTTATTTATATAATTAAAAAAACGACAAGATAAATTAAAAAAAAAAATAAAGAAAAAAATTATTTTTTAATTTATAGAAAAAAAAATGAGTTTTCTAGCAAACACTTTTGTTTTGTTTTAAAATCAAGAAAAAAATAAAAATGTTGTGTTAACCTAAAAACAATAAGAAATATGTATGTTTTAACTTTCATATACACTACACATTATATTCTCTTTTTTTTTGCAAACACAATTCAAAATTTAAAATTCCATTTAAAATTTGTTAAAATAATAATTTGAATTTTTAATATTAGAAACCTATGATTTTTTTATTTTATCCTGTTTTTATTTTTTCCTCTTTAATATTTCAATCATAAAATGGAATTTTGACTTTTAATAAAAAAATACAAATATTTAAGATATGTAATGGAAACCAAATCAATTCGATTTTGTGTTAGACCAAACCATCATATTCTGGTCGCGTCAAATCTAACCAACATGGATATGAGACAGCCACCGGTCGACATAAGCAATATAAATAGGAGGACAGATAATTTTTGGGGCTTTTGACATAACCTATGGAGCCTAAATTTTATCGGATCAAATTGCATGTACCCTAGATCATGAGGAAACAATAATGCAGAATTCTGATATTAAGTCAGGTTGAAGAGTACGGCTTCACTCAAAGACCTTTGCTTCTTCATAATGTCCAGATACGTTATTTGAGCAGCGTACGGAAGGATCAGTCACTTTTAGGTTAAGGTTGTGGACAATGATGGGATCTATTTCTGAACAAAAAGTTATATTATTAGAAGCGCTTCCGATATCTGGAGCTTCCAAAGAGGGTAATTTGGGCGGTCACTCTATGCCAAACAGTGGATGAGCAATGATATTTATTTTTGAAAATCTGATATGGACGATAGGTAAAGTTAAAGGAGGTCACCACTATACCCTAAGACCTTTGTTTTTTTATAGGATAGTTTTTTATCCTGCATATTGGAGAAGTAAATGAGAGTTAAAAGGATAGAATGTCTACGTTAGGAAATCGTTTGCAAAGACGCTCGAAGGACCACCAAAATCGCTATAAGCAAAATCCAATAAAGGCCAAAAATTTTGGGACATTTAGATTTTAACCGTCCATGAAATCAAAAAGTCACTATTCTTTGACTTTTTGGATTGCTCAAAAGATCTTCTCATATCTCCATGTTACTTGAACAGAATATTTCGGGTCAATCTTCCTTCAAGGCTACCTTTGTATTCAGTACAACTAGGATTTCCATCACATACCTGAATATTTATTGATGCGATTTGAAAACGAAGACACGAAGTTATAAATTAAGAATTTATTTTCAATAATTGGCGGATTTCGGCCGATGATGCGATTTGAAAACGATGGTTTAGCAATTTAAAATTCCAATTGAACGAATTCAAATGGATTACTGTCCATATAAAAAATGTGGTCTATTTCATAGAAAAAATAAATTAAATATTTTTTTAAAATTAAGGTGTTTAGATGGAATTCGCTCTAATTTGTTCGGTTGGAATTTTAAAATGATAAATCATGGTTTCAAATCGCATCAATTCAAATTTTGACACTGCTAATTTTTATTTTTTTCTAATAGTTAAAAAAATGTACGACATATAATTCAAAATTTAAATTGCATGTCCAATGAAATATTCAAATCACTTTTTTTTAATGTGGCCTTATTTTATTATGAAAAAATCAAATAAATATAAAAATAGGTATAGGTATATATGATGGAAATTTGAAATCGATTTATCATATATTTGAATATAATTACATGTTTTGAATATTTAAAATATATGATCGTTGTATGACAAATCGATTTGAACATACATACCTGATAATAATCTCTATTTTTTCGAACCTGCTTAAATTGTCTAAACTATTGGTGTTTTACTTTCCATTTAATTACAAATTTGTATGTGTTTCGCTGATATTTTCTTTTAAATTGTAAAATAAACTCCGTGTTTTTTGTAGGTGTAAATTATAAATGAAATTTAAATTCATTAAAAATGTGCTTGTTTTGTTCTGTATACTATCTGGATGTTATGTTATCGGTTTATGCGATTTTTTTATAATGTAGGTCTACATTTCTGTATTTTTTATTTTATTTTACTTTTTTTGTATGCAAAATCTACTACTTGCCTGTAGCACGACGCACAGTGGTTGATAGAAGAAGGAAATGGGTGAGTGTTCTATTCTTTTCAATATATCTCAAAGGTGATAAAAGTATTTTTTGCTTCCTGTTGTTGGTGTTATTAATGTATGCTTAAAAATTTTTTGCATAATTTCGTACATCGTCCTCATTTCTGGTTTTGTTCTCTATTTTGGGAGCGATTACAATGATGATGGTAAAATGATTTTGACGTTGTTATTTGCCGATGTGTGTGGCTTTTTTTCAATTAATTTGCTGTTTAGCTTCTGTTATTAGAGCCAACAGCGAGTCCAGTTTTAAATCTTTAAATCGTGCAAAATGATTCATAATTGGTTGTATAGAATCCGATTCGATAGCAGCACAAATGGTTTGATTTTGTATGGTACGATTTAATGATGTTGCCACTTGATCGAGAAATTGACGCCAACTATCCTTATTTTGTTCCGTTAATGTTGTATCTTCATTTTTGTCGTAGATATTTTCTGCCTGCAATATTAGGCAGACAAGTGAAGAAATTCCGAACTGTAAAAAAATAAACCAAAATAATATATGTTAAAAGGAATCGAATAAATAAAATATGTTAATACATAATTTATGGCAGGTTAAAGGAAAGTAATATTTAAAAGGCACAAAGAGCAAAGACATAAAAGTATAAAGATACGACAATTGATAAGTCTATAAAGATGTATGTTAAATTTCGTGAAAATCGGTTCCGACTTAGATATAGCTCCCATATATGTTTTCGTCCGATTTTAGGTAAATATTACACCAAAGTCCCTTCATATCCTTCCATTTGGACGAAATTTGGCATAGCGTATTGAATAGAGTCTACAATGAGGAGTGGTAAGTTTCGGGAAAATCGATTCAGCTTTCGATGTTTATCCGATCAACAAGAAATTTTGCACATGGTATCAAATTTAGACTTAAATGGCGTATTGCGTTTTGTTGAAATTGGTGAAGATGCAGCCATAGCTTCCACATGTATTTCGAACGGGTTCTGATTGAGATAAAATTTTGAACAGCGCTATAAATCGTTTTTCATAAATTTATCTGCCCGAATGAAATTAAATTTAGCATAGGTTCCAGAAAGACATGATTATGTTCCTTCGAGGGAACATTGACATGCAATTGTAAGGATACATACAAATACACAAAGTGGTGAAGGGTATCATATAGTCGGCCCAGTCCGACTTAACTACTTTCCTTACTGGTTATTCTTAACATGCATCTGTTATGTCTGATTTCCCCTACATATGTTTTATAAACTATTTAGTCAAAATGCATCTGTCGAGTCTTTACGGTTTTTGGATTGCTCGAAAGATATTCTCATATCTTCATTTCACTTGAACAGAATATTTCGTGTCTCTCTTCAACCAATCTTGCTTCAAGGCTACCTTCAGATGTATTCAACACAAATCATATATTTTTACAGTGCGCGGTGAAATATGATCCTGAGGAACGATTTTTCTATTTCATCCATCAGTTGGTACTTCTCTCTGCTCAAATATTCGTATTCTACATCTCTCACTCACAACCTGTATGTATTTGAGACTATTTGCCTAGTCAAATCATCACGTCCGACACCATGAAACTAAAACTTCCTAAAATTGTATCAACTGGACTTTTTTAAATTTTTACCGTGATGTTTGCTTCAATATTTCATGTTTTTTTAGGTCACGGGATTTATTTTCGGTCTATCCATACTTTGGTCTCGTTAAACCGGAGGGTGTAATGACTTCAACCTTTCTACAAAGGTACATTTGGCATCTTTAGCTGTCCCTAAGACACTTTCTACGTTGTTGCTGATAGAGCTAAAAAATTGAAATTTGAAATACGAATTAGGGTTGGGAAGTAAGGTCGATATAAAGAGATGGTTTTGAAAGCGTGTACTCATGTGTACGAAAAGTACCATATGTTACTATGTTTGGAACAAATTTAATTTAGAGGTACAAATCGAACTGCAGTCCTGAAAATTTAAATTAACATTACCATGGAATTGTAGGATTGGTACATGTACATATTTTTGAATTTTTTTTTACTTATGTGTACGAAAAGTACTAAATCTTACTATAGTTGGTACAATTTGGATTTGGCTGAACCGATAGAGCTGGAACAATGAAATTTGGAGTCAGGATCACTGTTGGGGTGTAGGATTGGGATCAGGATTTAATTTAAAAATACTTATGGCTACTAAAATGTACTAAATTTGGTACCATTTTTAGTGGACCGATGGAGCTGTAATCCTGAAATTTGAAGTTAAGATCACTGTTGGGGTGTGAGATTGAGATACGTAGGAAGTTTTGGAATTTTGTATTAATGTGTACTAAATTTGGTACAATTTAAATTGTGGGTGAGCCTTTTGTGCTAAATGGAACTAAATTTGGTAAAATGTGTATTTGGGTGAACCTTTAGAGCTCAAATCATGAAATTTGGTACTAAATAAAATAATATGTTAATACATGTTTAAATATTTCTCACATTCGCTAACGAAGTAGCGGGCATATGCTACTATTTTATAAACTAGTAATTTTTATTTGAAGCTAATTGAGTAACCGATTCCATCAACATTAAATCCGAAAACTCTTTGATAAAACATATACATTACATAAAACGAAAAATAAAACCTGTAACTACGAAGGCCGCCAGAAACCAAAGGCTGAGGAAACCAAATCGGCAACACAGAGTGACACTTTTTTACTAGTCTTTTTTTTTATAATATTGTCAGTAAACTCCTAATTGCAAACGAAGTTCACGCACTTGTTTCTCTAAGTTAAGTTCGTCATGGCCGCAATAACTCCTTACTGTTACCTTTGTCATCTTAAGCAGCCTTCAGAATATCTACTTTGCACTAGGCACTCACCACCTATGCATGCCAAGAAGGATCTTTATGATCTGAAGGGAGGTCCAGAGGTACATTTTATTTGCTAAAGACTATTCCTGACGATATATGAGAAATTTCTTCTCTCTAGGGACAAATTCTACTATAATTATAGCGTTGCAATTTTCCGCTCGAGAGGACAATTTTGATCACAGCTGATATTACATTCTCAACGTTAATAAAAATTATTTGTTATTGATATGGATATTATTGGTGGTTTTTGTTATTGTATCAGCTTGCACGATATTCTCGAATTTCTTCCTCAACACCATTCATGTGAATACGATTCAATTCTGCTTGATAGGCCTTTTGATCTAGAGGCTCTCTTTTGTACCTTGGGACCTCTCTCTCCAGATCATGAAGATCCTTCCTGACACCCCTAGGTGGTGGGTGCCTATCCATTAGGTAACGATTTGGATGGGTATTCTATAACACCCAAGGAGGTATTGCATCGACAAAATCTTGTTGTGTTGGTGCACAGGAAGGATCTTCGTCTCCTCATGTAAGTGGTCTATTGGAGTCATGAGCAGACACCCTGTTACAGTCCTCTTTTCCACTGCGTTGCACTGACGTTAGCGGACTACACTGGTGCCGCAAAGTTTGCTGTGTATGTCGTTAACAAGGTTTCTTTGTCAGCTCCCCAAGTGCTGTCGGCTAGCGACTATCAAAGATAGCCGAAAAAGTTCTGGGTCTGACACACATGTTAACACTTAAAGGAACATTTGTAAGAACTGCTGCACTATCGTTTATGTTTATGAATATGGAAGGTATAATATTTTCTGCTAGAAAGTACCTCATGTTCGGAGAACTCGAAATACCAAATTATTTATCACCAAAACCGAAATATAGGTACATTTTTTAAATATCTCAAACCTAGTGAACTCAAAATTATTCTTCCATGGGGACCTCGTCCTACTCCAAGACAGAATAATATATATTTGCTATTTATGTAATCATTGTATTGCATTACTTACTTTGCTACAGAATACGCCATTTGCTTTTTTATCATTTAACGAAATGGCTGATGAAATTTTAACAATTATTTCAAAATTTGCCGATTTGATTTGTTTGTTGAATTCCGGATACAGAGAGTATAAAATGCCCTCGGCATCATCGCGGTCTTTTTTCACAACACTTTGCAGTGAATGGAAAACGCCAATCCAAACATTCCAACGGGCATCATGTTCTTCAATGTACGGCATAATGCGACGAATTAAAACCTAGAAAGATAAATAAAAAACATTTTAAATTAAAATGAAAGCATTTCTAAGTTGAATAAACGCTTCCAATTGAAATAAACAATTGTTAAAGTCCATATTTAAATTATAACAAATAAAAACATTCCAAGTTATACAATTCTCTCAGTTCATAGGTGAGAGTGCTGAAGGTTTGTCCTTCAACTCTATACTCTCAACTGCAAATAAAATTAAATAAGGACTTATAGAGATGGGAACGTTCTTTTTACAATTTAAATTACATTTTTTATAAATTTAAAATATCAATTTTATATAAATATATAAAAACTCAACTATTGATACTCACTTTTCCTTTGCGTACATTCATCATTGCAACAACTTTATCGTGTTGCAGTCCGGCAACTAACTTATCAACCAATGCTTCCTTGGTTTCAATTTCATAATTAAATTTAGTTCTAAGTGATGGATTACTGACAGGATCGCCAGCAGCAGCACGTTCCTCAGGTGTTTTATTTGCATTCTCTAGCTGTTCCATAGCAGCGATGTGTTCACTTTCCTTTTTCTTTTTTCTCAATATGGTGGCAATAGCATTCGGATTATTTAAATCGTCCAATTTTAAGAGAACACGATATAAAGTCTCAATGTGTAGCAAAATATAACGTGACTTTCGTTGAGTATTGGAAGAGTTAAGATCACCACCACCGCCAGCTGTGTTGGGTATTTGTGGTGTTTCAGAACGTTTTCCTCCTGTCGATGTTGCTAGCGAACCGTTATTAGCAACTGTTGTTGATGTTGTTGTTGTCGATGTTGCACCTGAAGATCCAGTATTGGCATTGTTGGCCGCATTGTCTGTGCCATTTGTCGGCTCATTGCTCATAATTTCGGCATCGATTATTTTCCGTGGAGCCGTAACACTGCCGTATTGCAGTTTACCAAGTGAATTTTCAAATTTCAATGGTGTAAACACATACATGGGTACCTTCATGTCTTGATTGTTGTTGTGATTATCGGAGTTGCGACGTTCACGTTGCTGGCCATTGCGTGTACCATTCTTATTGCCCAATTGTACCAGGATAAGTTGTGCATGTCCCTTGGGCTGCGTCAGTGGATGATTCAATTGGTTGTCCTTGTGGGCCTGGCTGTGACGCAAACTGCCATTTTGACCCGTCTTGCGTTCCTTATACACAGTATAATAGTAATCATCAATGTATGGGGTATCCGTGTTCAACTGAGACAACTGGATGCCGATGAGCCAATGCTTGTCTCGGGTGCTCATCAAATTGGCATACTCATCGTATTCTTCGGGAGGCAAATTACCATTTCCTGTGCCATCACGGCGCATATTGTGATTCAGTTTTTGCAAGTTCATGGCGGGCATGGAGGCACCACGCCTTTGCATCTGATGTTGTTGTAGGTTCATAAGATTATTTGGGCCGTTTGCATTCTGTTGCATTTGTTGTTGTGACTGTCGGGCAGAATTCTGCAGCAACGGATGGTTCTGTTGGATTTCTTGCACCAAACGCATGTTGAACATGTTGAACGAAGAATTGGATGAACTTTGATTGTTCAACAACATCATGGGATTGGGTGGATGACCGGGTATACGATTTGCCATAGCTGCTGCCGCAACTGCTTGCTGCTGTTGAGCCAACAGGGTAACGGGATGTATGCCAGCAGCAACAGCTGCTGCACGCATTGCATTAAAATTTGGATGCATTGCAAAGTTGTTGAGTGCAACCGGTAGGTGTGGATTCGGCAGTGGACGTTGATTGGTAAAATTATTTGGCAAACCATGTTGATTAAGTAATGGATGCGGTGGCAATTGGGGATGTGGTCCAACCGGAGGGAAAAAGTATCCGGGATTGATGCGATTTCCGGCCGCATTTAAGGCTGCTGTTTGGGGATGTGGTGGCTGTTGTTGTTGCTGCTGCTGTTGTTGTTGTTGCAATAAACTGCCCAATGGGTGTTGTGCCAAATTGTTGGCAAAATTGCTTGAGGGTCTGGGTGGTGATTGATGTTGAGCCTGGGAGTTGGGAAAGGATGATGAAGATGGTCCAGCTAATAAATAATTAAAAAAAGAATATTAGAAAAAAATAAAAAAAGGAATTGTTTTTCTAGATTCTTATATGTAGCAACTTTAGTATATTTGATCCTATATTCAACTTTCATAGGAACAAAAATACTAAATTCCGTTGAGAAATTCTGAATTAAAGTTTCAGGACGCAGAATGTGATGCACTAAACTCTTCTATGACACTTGACCATTCTCATACCAACTCGTTGTGCTGGTAAGAGAAGAAACCTGTACGCCCGTAAAAATTGTCACTGTCAGGTTCCTCTTAGGACCTCAATACTTATGGCAATCATCGGCTTACTGAACCGAATTATCACCTCGTGGAATGGGGATTATCGCAACATAAATGTTGAAAAAAATGGAGATAACCTAACTTAAGCTTTTAGAAATAACCCGGAGAAATTTCCAAATAATTATCTGAAACCGATGATCACAGCAATTTGGTAAGATAACCCAATCCAAATTCCGTATGAGCCGAATGCTTTGAATGGTGTAGTTTTGAAGATAATTGCCTCTACCTCTTCGCGAATATATACACAATTTTGGACATCTAAATTGTGTTTCCTATGGAACCAGATAGTGTTTCCTATGGAACCAGATAGGCTCATAACTGTGGACTGACATGCATTGTAGCATTGTGTAATGGGATTCAGAGTAAGATGAATACGACATATGTACTTAATATGTTCCAATGTGAGAGAACTGACAGGTGGCAGTTAATCTCTTAACCTAACTATTCTAGTATTTGCTAATCTGTTTCTGAAAATATGAAGCAAAAGGGAGTAGTCTACTTTTTTAAAAGCCGACATATTAGAAGGGATTTCCATATCCTCCTTGACGACTTATAGCGAATATTATTCACATTTTCTTCGTCTTCTGTCTTTAGTTTATCATTGGACCCCTTTCACATTTAGACCCATATTAGCCGAATACTTCTTAAAAGTACTTCTTCCAAATAAAATCCATTCTGAAATAATTCGATATTACCTTTTTGTTGTAATTTTTGATTAAGCTGTTGTTGTTGCTGCTGCTGATGTTGTTGTTGCTGTTGTGCTAACAATTGCTGGTGTTGTTGGTGATTCTGTTGGAGCTGTTGGTTTTGTTGTTGTTGCTGCTGCTGTTGTTGCATTGGTGTTGGCGTGCCAGATGCATGCTTTAAAGCATCATTAAGTAAACGTTGTTGTTGTTGCTGCTGTACTGCTGCATCCATTGCCTGTGCATTGCGATCCTGTTGCTGCTGGGAATTTTGCTGTTGCTGGTGTGTTTGATCTTGTTTTGCTGCGGCCTGTTGCATTATCAAATTCCTTTCAATATCTTCCAATGTACATATTTTCGGTGGGCCACCACCTTGAGAATGCATTTGCGGCGGAAGATTTGGTAGTCCAAGGTGAGGAGGCATATTTACGGGCGTTTGACGATGGGCTGCCTGCTGTGCTGCCATCATTTGAAATTGCGCGTGCTGTTGTTGGTGTTGCGGATGTGGCGGTGGTGGTTGTTGTGGTGCCTTGTGAAATGGACTGGGAAAATGTTCGGTTAAAAAAGCAGCCGCATTAGGTGTCATTCTCATACCGTCGTCATTTACACTATGATGAGCCCTTGATGGCTGCAATGACCATACACCGGGATCCATTTTCATGTGGTTTCCCAAAAGGGTGCTCATGTTTTCACTTTCACCATAGCTGATGTCCACATCATCCAACTTCATGCCTGATAAATTCAATTCTAAATCCGAATCAGACTGACGTTGTTGGCGGGAATTTCTTAAAGCATTCATGGCTGCACCATAACCCCCGCCGACACCACCGCTTGCCACATTTCCGGTGCTATCCAAGGCATCGCCTTCCAGTTCGCCATCCAAACGCACAAGGTTTTCGTGCACCTCCTCCCAATCGCCATTGATTGCAGAGCCAAATGTCTCGTCATTTAATGCATCATACTCTTCCTCAGATGGTTCAGCAATTCTTCCTCCGCCATCATCGTCCAACTAGAGAACGAAAAATAAAAAAAGAAAAGCATGCATCAACAATGGGAAATCACAATGGCATTGTTTTGCCACGGGGCCACTATAGCAGCAACATTACTAACAAAAACATACAAGCTAGCAGCAAATCAGTACACTCGCACTACCCAATCGAACTGACTGACTGACCGAGCGAGCCAGCGACCGACCCAGCAAGAAAAGTGGCACCATTGCTGCTTGACCAAGAGCAATTTTACGCATTACTTTTTCGCACTTCCTGCGGCACAAATCGTACAGCCGAAGGCATTTTCCAATTTCGGGAACTATCACTTACCGGCATAGAGGTATCAAATCCAAAAAATGAGTTTTCCATCGATTAAATTTGTTTATTTTATGTGAAATTGTCATGACTTGTCACACAGCCACATTCATCACATATGGCTGGCTTGGACCATTCGCTAAAAACGAACATTGCCGAAGAAAATTTTTAGTGTTGCCAGAGTTTTGTTTATTATAAATAGAAAAAAGTTTAAAATAAAATATTGTGATAAAATAAGTATGGTTGAGATATTTTTCGGGAAAAAAAGAATTAAAATATTATAAATTTTGTTTATAAAAATACCTTACATTTTTTATTTATAAAAACTAATTATATGAATCACCCTGTTGTTTACTAAACATTTATTGCCACATCACTGATTACATGACGGGGATAATTAGAGAATTGTTTTGCACAAACTGTCATTCCATGGCCAACTTTTAAAACAATTTGGCCACGTATCAATTTTGCTCGAGGGTCAGATACATAAGGTTGGAAGTTATTCAACTTAAATCGAACATGTCATCGTGTCGAATACCATGAAAATGGCAAAATATCTTCCAAAATTTAAAGGAATATATTTTCCTTCGTAATCTATGCAAATCTTGCGTCCAGTGGCAAAAATTTTTGAATCATTTAAATTTATTTATATTTTTAAGTTCCCTGCCTATAAAACCTATAAATACAAATTGCAACATTCTTAGTTAAATCTTGAGAACAATGTGGAGCTTTAGAAAAAAAATATTTTTATAATTTGTTGAAATTTTGCCAATCGCTATGCGTAACATTTTATGGAATTTATTTTTTAATTTATTTGAAATTGATATATTGTTACGAATATAAATTTAGATTTAAGTTACTTTAGATGAATTCCGTTAATTTAAGAATTTGAATTGTAACGTAAATTTCTACTACGCAGTTTATTTGAATAACTTCACAACAACAACTACTGTATAGATTTTTCTACATCCTTCCATTTCCTCTTTTATTTTCTATTTTGGTATTGACGTACAATTCTTGTTAAACGTCATCATTGATGATCGCTTAATTCCTCTTTCTTTGTTACCCCCTCACCTGTATATGTGTTGTTGTTATTGTTTACTCAATGTAAGTTTGTATGTGTTGTTATTGTTTGCTCAATGTAAGTTTGTATGTGTTGTTGTTATTGTTTGCTCAATGTAAGTTTGTATGTGTTGTTGTTATTGTTTACTCAATGTAAGTTTGTATGTGTGTTTGTTGCATTGGTATATTGTTCGTGATCTAGGTGTTACCAGATCATCTAGAAACTTCTGTAGCTACAAGCAAGGGTCATATAAATAGGGGAAATGGAAAGGCAGTGAGTCAGTTGTGAATCAGATCGCGAATTGAAACCGTCGTGTAAAGTAAAGTGCAAAGTAAAGTTGTGTGAATAAAAACATTGTAATAATCGTAGTCAGAACGAACCCGCGTTTTATTTGGTACGAACTGTATCGGGAAATAAAACAACGTCTACACGGGAATAAGTGAAGTCCAAGAACGTAACAATTGGTGTCAGAAGTGGGATTACGATAATACTACGATGAAGTTTAAGGATCTACGAGTGGAAGACTTGAAGAAGGAGCTGAATAAATTGGAATTGTCCTCTACTGGCAACAAGGCTGAGCTACAAAAACGTCTGTTGGATGAGTTCGAGCGCCGTGGTATGAACATCGATACATATGAGTTTGACAGTAAGGATGAAGTGGATTTATCGGAAATGGGCGAATCCAACGGTGGGGAAGTCTCGTCAGTAGCTGCCAGGGGTGACGATTTCAGAGAAATGCTGGCTAAAATGTTTGAGGAAAATTCCAGAATGTTAGTAGAAAACACGAGACGAATGTTCGAACAGAATTCCAGGAAGTTAGATGAAAATTCGAGAATAATGAACGAGAAACTCGAGAACATTACAGAAGTTATTGGAAGGAGAGTGGAAACCGTGGAGGTCCAAATTAAAGAGTTGGATAAGAAAGTGCAGTCGGTTGACGAGAAGATTCTGTCTGTGGATGAGAAATTTCTGGCCCACGCCCATAGGTTTACGAATCTGGAGAAGAAAATGTCGGAACTGGAAATTAAAGGTGGTCCGGTGCGAGTTCCTGATAACACACTAAAAATCAAACCTCCTGTATTCGACGGCTCTACGTCATTCAATGTTTTCAAGTTACAGTTCGAGACAGTGGCTTCTAGAAATTCGTGGAACGACAGCGACAAAGCGGTTGCACTACTTCTGGCATTGAAGGGCAGTGCTGCTGATGTTATACAGAGTATTCCTGTCGCTTCTAGGTACAACTATGAAGATGTTATTGCTGCACTGGAACGTAAGTACGGTGGCGAACATAAACAAAACATCTACCTTATGGAATTAAGGGGAAGAGTGCAGAGGGCAAACGAGACGTTGCAAGACTTTGCAGCTGAGGTGGAACGTTTGGTGCTAATGTCGTATCCAGGAGAGAATCACCCATTGCTGGAACGTATGAAAATCGAAACCTTTGTGAATGGCATACGTGACCCTGAGATTAAATGTGCAACATATGCGTCACCAAAAGCGTCGTTTGCCGAAACTGTGTCGTTTGCCCTTGCCCAAGAGACGGCAAGAATGATTGTTAAGCCCCAGACCCACAAGATTAGCCAACTGGAGACCGAATGTTGCGAACACAAATATCTCGTTAACTTGATCAAGGACGCCATGAGGCGGGTAATAGAAGAAACAAAGTTAGTACGGGTGACTAAGCCCAGGGTTAGATGCTACAACTGCGATAAAGCAGGTCATATTGCGCGCGAATGCAGAGCTAAGCGCAAACGATCCAGGTCATCGTCACCACCTCCAACGAAAGATGGTAGAAGAATGGCTCAACAGTCCACCAATGAGTCACCGTTAAACAGAATCGAGCACAGAGAAGGCGGAAAACACGGTAATGCTGATGCCCTGTCTCGTCGGCCATGCAAGGTAGAATGCAGGCATTGTTCAAAGGCTGAGTGTAAGGAGAATATCGTTGATGTCCGGCTATTGCAGTTTGAGTCGGGTGAAGATTGGTCGACGGAACAACGAGGGGATCCCATTCTGGGCAAAATAATTTCGGCCATAGAAACGGGCAAGCGACCTAGTCGCAAAGAAATTTCCTCCGAAAGCCCTCTTTTAAAATCCTATTGGGCCCAGTGGGACAGTCTGCTTATAAAAGATGGTTGCCTATATCGCAAATGGGAAAGTGAGGACGGTAAATCTCACCGGAATTTGATCGTCGTCCCAGACTCCAAAATAAGAGATGTCTTGTCGGAGTTTCACGATGGGCCAAGTGGAGGACATCTTGGCATAGCAAAGACGGCTGAAAAGGTAAAGCAGAGATTCTACTGGGTCGGCTGTCAAAAATCCATTGCCGACTGGATCGCCAATTGTGAAAGGTGCATAAGAGCTAAAGGTCCAACACGGAAGAGTCGAGGCTACATGCAGCAGTATAATTCAGGAGCCCCTTTTGAAAGAATCGCAATGGATGTAGCTGGACCGTTCCCCACAAGCGACTCTGGGAACCGGTATGTCTTAGTGGTCATGGATTACTTCAGTAAATGGCCCGAGGTTTATGCTATCCCAAATCAAGAAGCCAGGACAATTGTGGATGTGTTCAGCAAAAATTGGATTTGTCGCTATGGTGTTCCATCTGAGGTTCATTCCGATCAAGGTAGGAATTTTGAATCAGCGATCTTCAAGGAAATGTGTGACTCCTACGGAATCAAGAAAACCAGAACGACGCCCCTACATCCACAATCCGATGGCATGGTGGAAAGATTCAATCGCACCCTGGAAGAACATCTACGGAAAGTGGTGGACAATGGCCAACGAGACTGGGATGAGCATATTCCCAAGTTTTTACTGGCTTATAGATCGGCCATTCATGATTCCACATCCCGGACCCCAGCCAAAGTTCTCTTCGGAAATGAATTAAAGCTACCTGGCGATTTGATATTCGGTGCTACCCCAAACTACGATGTGAACCAAGAAGAAGACAGTCAAAACTCTTTTAGTAAAGTCCACGATGCAGTTCGCCATCGAATAAAAATGGTTAGCAACCGCATGAAGGCAAGGTACGATCGAGCGGCAAATACCGATGGGTTTCAAGAAGGGCAACTGGTACTATTGTTCAACCCACAACGAAAGAAAGGACTATGCCCCAAATTGCAAACGCACTGGGAAGGACCCTACAAGATTGTCACGAAAATAAATGACGTCGTTTATCGCATCCAGAGGAGCGACAGTCCCAGGTCGAAGATGAAAGTTGTACATTTGGAGCGGCTGACCCCCTACGGAACGGGAACTGTGCCTATTCGGGACGAACAGGCTTAAGCGGGGGGCAATGTTACGAATATAAATTTAGATTTAAGTTACTTTAGATGAATTCCGTTAATTTAAGAATTTGAATTGTAACGTAAATTTCTACTACGCAGTTTATTTGAATAACTTCACAACAACAACTACTGTATAGATTTTTCTACATCCTTCCATTTCCTCTTTTATTTTCTATTTTGGTATTGACGTACAATTCTTGTTAAACGTCATCATTGATGATCGCTTAATTCCTCTTTCTTTGTTACCCCCTCACCTGTATATGTGTTGTTGTTATTGTTTACTCAATGTAAGTTTGTATGTGTTGTTATTGTTTGCTCAATGTAAGTTTGTATGTGTTGTTGTTATTGTTTGCTCAATGTAAGTTTGTATGTGTTGTTGTTATTGTTTACTCAATGTAAGTTTGTATGTGTGTTTGTTGCATTGGTATATTGTTCGTGATCTAGGTGTTACCAGATCATCTAGAAACTTCTGTAGCTACAAGCAAGGGTCATATAAATAGGGGAAATGGAAAGGCAGTGAGTCAGTTGTGAATCAGATCGCGAATTGAAACCGTCGTGTAAAGTAAAGTGCAAAGTAAAGTTGTGTGAATAAAAACATTGTAATAATCGTAATCAGAACGAACCCGCGTTTTATTTGGTACGAACTGTATCGGGAAATAAAACAACGTCTACACGGGAATAAGTGAAGTCCAAGAACGTAACAATATGAATTCCATATTAAGAAGTGTTGCCATTAGCGATTTTGACAACAAACTTTAAAAGCAGTTGATATTAAGCTGGTCTCCCAAGATGACATTATTAATAAGCCTTGGATCATGGCACAATAAATAGGTAGTCCATTTAGCGCAGCTAATGTCTCGATTAACTGTCAAAGGGCATAATTCCTACTTGAATTCGATATACAATGTTGCCAACCATGCGAAATATTATAAGGAAAAATTTGGCAGAAGGTCGAGACAAAAACAAAGGTTTTTGTTGTGATACATCACCTATTATTGCATCATGCCTTGGATGAAACTAACTGGTCACTGCATAATTAGATCTCTAAATTCCAAGTTGGAAAGCTATGGAGAAAATTAATAATACACTATTTCAGTGCATTTACATTGTCAATTCCATTGCATAAATAATCATCATGGAGGAGGTTAACCCGGAAAAAATTTCTAATATACATGTGGTTTAATGCCGTACAGATCTCTGCAGTTTAAAAAAATTGTCATGGTTAAATTTCTTCTTGTCTACTTTTTCATTTTATTTCAGGGAGAACACAGTAGACCACAGACAAGACACATTAAACAGATCGTGCAAGAAGCAAATATTATCGGCAATTTTGGTTGAAATTCCCCAATAATGTCAAATTTTTTGTTTACGTTTTCATACAATTAAGTCAAAATTGAAAGCATTTTGATAGTTTGGGCGAAATCAACCTGTTTATTGGACCATGGAACTGACCTTATCGGATGACATTTTTTTGAGTCATGACCACCGGTTTCCAAGTTAAGCGAAATCACACCTTTTTTGACAGCTCATTACACCAACAGCTGTTGGTGTAATTAAATCGATTATTTGAAAACAAATAATCGATTTATCGATTAATTCGATTCTATTAACTAATCTGCCAAAATCGACTTAGATCACTCTTGTATTAGTTAATTTACTGCTAGTGAGTTCACTAGCAGTGCTATTGCGGTTTAAATTGTTTACCGAAAAAAAGAGGATTCGGTGTTTGTTTTATAATTACTTTTTGTGCAACCACTGACCACAAATATTAATCTTTTTTTCATATACGATATGTGCATATTATAAATATATATATTTAAGAAAACTGAACCGAAACATCACTTAAGGAGTAACTCATCGTCGTTATTTATGGCTAATAAACAACACCTTTTGAGTTGTAACAGGTTTTTTCTTCATAGCTGAAGAAGAAGAGGTCGGTGTTTTACGTGTGGGCATTTAATCATCAGTCGCCTAACTAAAAAAATCGGAAGTATTTTGCTACGTCTGTTGTTTGCTCGTAATTATTTTGGTTTGGTGAATAATCTAAGACAAAGTTGTATTGTCTGTCCATAGCAAATTCTTTTTCAGGGCGAGAAAATGAAACGTGACAAAGTAGCTGAAGATGAAAAAGAAAAGGCAACATATTTGGGCTTCGATCTCAGCACCCAAAAGGTGAGTTATTTGCCTATTATGATGTTTTGAATACTAAAAGTTGAGCGATAGCGGTCCATACAGCGGGTATCATATGGTGAACCTTATTGCATATGTGTAAGTTTGTACAACCAACCACCAACCCGCGATTTGAAAACTAAACTAAGTTTTACTATTGTTTTGGGTATTTTGTGCAAAGAAACTCTACAAATGCAAATTTATTCAAGTTGTTGTTCACTATCACTTCTTGGTAAGGAAACTTGGCAAAATATAGGTACACTCATACATGTAGTTAGACAATGGGGTACCACACGAATTAATGATCGTGGAAGTCTGATTATGTTTGTACTTGTGAAAAATTTGCCACAATTCTATTATTTTATATGACTAACAAATTACTCCCACCCATTATTTGTTAACACAGTTAAGAAGCTTTGTTTATTTGTGGCCTGGTTAAGGCTCACAACAGTATTCCAAATGTGTGCGGCATCAAGATTTTGTTACACCACGAAGTATATATACTTAAAATTTAATATTTTCCTTAAAAATATAGCGGATTGAAAAAATTTATGCAAGATCGTAATAAAAAATAATTGATTTTGCAAAAAATGCTTTTTAAGTTTTAAATCACATCTTAGCAAGCAAGAGAACTTCTACAGCTTCTCAATCAGAGTGTGTAAAAGGTGATGATCTTTTGAACAACATGATGTATAATATAGTTACCAATTCAGCATGATCACGATTTTCGATTAATGTCGGTTTTGCAGCAAATGAGCGATTTTTTAATTGAATTTTTATACCCTCAGCCATATGGCTATTAAGGTTTTATAGAATATAATACGGTGAAAATGTGCCTCATCGAAATATTGGTTTTAGACCCAATGTTTCTTTGGACCAAATCCATTTCAGACAATTTGGAGTCGATTTATATAGCTCTCGAAGGAAATATCGATTTCATGCAAACTTTGCACATCTTAATATTTCTTACAAAATTATTTCAAGTTTTATGAATGTCTACTTCTTCTGGTATTTCTTCAGCAAAATGGTCAAAATTGTGCAAAAAATTAATTTTATAATATCATGCGATTTGAAGGAAACTTTGTACAATCGTTTATCTTTACGAAGCCTAGATTAATTGGGAAGATGAGACCTATTGGTTCACTGCATCTGATACCTCCCCCACAAAGGGTCAATATTTTAAATATTTATAAATACAATATCAGGTGAATGGAATATTCGATTTGATCCAAACTTTGCAAAACCTATTACATTTACCAAGCCCAGATCAAGTTTGAAGATGGGACCTATTGGTCCACTCCCTTTGGTACCTCCCACACAAAGTATCAAATTTTTCGATATTTCTAAATCAAATATCAGCAAATTACCTTTACCAAGCCATGATCAAGTTTGAAGATGGGACCTATTGGTCCACTCCTTTCGGTACCTCCCCCACAAAGGGTCTGGCACCGCCCCCAGAAGGAGTCAAAATTTGTAATATTTCTAAATCAAATATCAGGCGAATGGAATGTCCCGTATGAACCAAATTTTTTACAACCTAAGTCTAAATGAAGTCCGAAGAAGGGACCCACTGGTAAACTTCTTCTGGTACCTCCCACACAAGTGTTGTTCGCCCCGTCCGAACTTTTTATACCCTCTACCATGAGGATGACATAGGAGAAAACTCATGTTAGATAGGACCTTGAACATAACGAAAAAGATACGTAATAGTGGGGTTACCGTTGGGGCTATACAAAAAACGGGGATCGATATTGATAATTTCTGGTAGTGAAATACTATGAGAATACTAAATACACCCAAATCGTTTAAGTCTAAAATATTAATAATTTTAGGTAAGGATAAAATGAGAACCCAAAATACCAAAAAAGAGACAAATTGGTTGAAAAAATGCCCAAAACAATAATGTGCAGTTGGTCGAAGAGTTCCCTACTCTATTCATCTGGATTGCACTAAGAATCCCATGTACGTCGTCCTCTTCCAGGACTACAGTCCTGTCAGTCGTAGACGGTTTAATATCAGTCTTGACTAGATCATTTTCTATTTGAATTGCCGGATCGTTATCATTTATAGCAGGTACAGCTGTAGGTGCAAAGGCATTCACACCTAGAGTAGACGGATCACAATCACTTGATCTCGACGACGCGTGGCTTGTGCCGGTACTGGGTTATTAACTCCCTGCACCGTAACTTTATACCTTCTATTCTTTCTTGTCATCTTAGTAAATTTATTTTACGGCACTGCCCCAATCCATTTTGGTCCACGGGGGATCCAAGGATCTCCAAGGTTTCCACGAAGTTCAAACTAGGCCAAAGATCAGGCCTAGGTTGTGGTATGTATGATTCATCCTGCACATCGTAGAAACCCCCTTCCTATCCGCCACCCGGGAAGACTCACCTAGTAGGAGATTGGCAACTCCCCAGTTTTTTAGCTGCTGTTTTCAATTGGAGATCTTCGGTCCATTGTGCTCATCCTGAGTACCTGAGATTGAGAAGATAGACAAGAGGGTCACAGTACACAGTTTAATTTGGTCAAATGTATTTGTTTACCAAGCGCCTGCCACCATACAAGATATTCTATACTAAATGTTCATGAATAAGTGCTGTAAGACCTATCTTAGTGCGCTCCTCTACAATTCTTTTCCGCCTTTTTTGTGCTCTGTGGTGTCCTTCTGTTAACATATTAATGATTCTGTTTATCAACATTCCATTAATCAATTAAATTACAGTTGAGGACACACCTGACCATTCCAATGCGGAATGGATGTATTCCGGATCTATATTATTGAAGGCACCTTTATTATTGAACTATGGTGAAAACCAAGCCTTTTATAGGTGCTTGAAAAATTATTGTATTCATTAGGACCAAATTTTTTGAAATTTGAATCTGAAATGGGACGACCAATTTTGAATTGGGACGGCCAAAATGCATCATGCAATTAAAAATACTTCATTAAAAATTCTTCAACCTAAGACACTATTTTAAAACATTTGAAGGTCATAAAAACGTATTATCAATTACACATTATAAATAGAATTATAAAATTTTGTTAAGAAAGACAAATACGACGTCAGTCAGTATTCAACACAATATTTGATTTGACTGATAAGAATTGTTTCCAATTAATAACACTACCCTTAAACCTTATTTTATTCGCATCACAAAATTGTTTCATAATTATGCCATTAATTACTTTAGCAAATGCAAACAATAACATTTAGTTGTTTACTGCATAAATAACGGCGTATAATAGCAACTATCATAAAAGAATTAGACGATGCCTTCTTTGCCATGTAGTTATTAAACAAGCCCAAAATTTACAGCACACAGCAATCATCATAATGAACATGAAATAAAATGTAGAAACAAAAAATGTGACGTAAAAATATTAGCATTAGAATTAGAATCAACCACACCTTTCTGTTCGAGATGGGATAGGCAGACTGCTATTGTGACAAAAGGGAATATTTTAGTCATTTTTTTTAATTTAATTTATTAAGGAATTTGGTCATGAAAATGTGTATGTCACGGAAAAATAGGATGTGTATGTACAATATATATTGTGTGGTGATGTTATCACTTTAGGAAATTGTAATTTGTATAACCTCCACCATAGGGTGGAGTGTACTATGTTATTTCATTTGAAAGATCTCGATATATTTGTCGAAGACCCCATAAAGTATATATATCCGGAATCTGAATAAAATTCTACGTCGATTTAGCCATGTCTGTTGAAATTACCTTGCAGAAGATAACATTGAAGTTAGAGTATTACAAGTCTCCACGAATTGGTTATATCGGTCTATTGGCCCCATTTTGGGTTTTTTATGTTTTATGCAACATTTTTCATCCGCAGTGGCTATTATTTGTCATACCGGGTTTTTGAATGGTAAAAATTGTACTTGCAGAAATTTTCGAATAAAGGTTCATATTTTGGTACAGCCCTCATGCCAAAAATGTAACAAAGGTCCTGTCCTACTATCGGTATTTTGAAGTTTACAAACGCATTTTCCAATCGACATATCTGTTATTTAGTATTTCTGGTTTTTGGAATCGGACATCAAGCTGCAGCAACTACGTTGGCTAAGTCATGTTTTGAGATGTGGATGAAGATTCCCCCACTTAAAGGCATATAAAAGCGAGACAAGTGATGGTTCACACAGAAGGGGAAGGCCACGTGTTCGATGGAAAGATCTAAGGTTGCTCCATAAGCTGAGCTTAAAAAAGATTTCTAAGCGCGTCGGTCTTGTGCACTTCTCATCCAATTTGATAAACCATGTTCCGAGATGTTGTCTTCTACTTGATTTTTTCATCGAATTCGCGGTCTTTCCCTTCTGCGTTAACCATCACTTGGCTCGATTTTATATGCCTTTTGAGTGGGGGAATCCTCATCCATTCTCACAACATGACCTAGCCAATGTAGTCGCTGCAGCTCGATCCGTCTGACAATGCCGATGTCCGAGAATATATGGTATAGCTCATGGTTCATTCGAGAACGATGTTTGCCATCGGCACAGATCGGCCCATATAACTTCCGGAGATTTTTTTTCTCAAACACTCCAAGAGCTCCCACATCTGCTTGCGCAAGTACCCATGTTTCAGATCCATACAACAGCACGGGTAGTATCAGCGCCTTGTAGAGTGCGAGTTTGGTCTGGCGAGAGGTGGCCTTGCTGTTGAGTTGCTTACTAAGACCATAGGAGTATCAGTTGGCCAACACAATTCTTTTCCGAATTTCAAAGCCGATGTTTTACTCTGATATACATATAAAATCGTTCACTACTTCGAAGCTGTAGTTTTCAAGTTCCACAGTTGATCCGAGTCTACTGGAGGTCTTGCGCGTTGATAGCATCAGCTTGGTCTTCTCGCCATTTACTGCCAGACCCACTTTGGCAGACTCCTCAATTTGTTCAAAGGTGGCTGTTACCGCTTGAAATGTTCGACCCATTATGTCGATGTCGTCGGCGAGTACCATATGCTGTTTGGAGTACAGGGTGTCATTTCTTTTAAAATTTGTCTCTCGTATGACCTTTTCCAGCAGGATGTTAAACAGGTCACACGACAAACTTTCACATTGTCTGAATCCTCGTTCAGTATTGAAGGGCTCCGAGAGGTCCTTTCCGACTTTAACTGCTATTTTTGTTTTTAAAGTTTTCTCCACCAATCGATACGAAATTTTTTGAGCAACGGTAATTTTTGGGCTATCTTCGTCTTTTTGATCACTTAGAGGAGTGTTCTACTCTTGAACGGAGCATTAAGGCATGTGAAGGAGACTTAACCAGGAGTGTACTTTCGATTATCTTTGTTATATTGAGGTTTTAATGGAATGGCCTCCACGGTAATACTTATGTAGTGTACAAAAATAATAGGACCCAAATTCATTCTGACTGAAAATGTCAAAGTTGTTATTATGGTTGATATCGAAGGTGAGATTAATGTATTTTATACGATCTATCCTTCCAAAGACAATTAGAAATGGTACCAGGCCTGGCCACAAATTATATATATTTGTGGTATTATACATTTATATTCCAGAAAAATGTTGCCCATTTTATGTGTAATGAATGTACCGATATTCGGATAAGGCATATTTTCTTCGTACCAAAGTGTGAATGCCCTCATTAGCCCTATGGCTGAGGCAATAAAAAGGTTATTGTTGTATGATGGATATACATGTAAAATTGAAATAAATAAATAAAAATAACTTTACTACTTACGATTCTTAATCCGATTGATAACCTGAATGTTAATATTTTTCATATTTCAATTCTTTGTTCCAGCTTAAAGCCGTCCAATTAAATAATAAACTGGAAATTCTTGTAACCGCTGAAGTTCAATTTGATTCAGATCTTCCAGAGTTTCGAACACAGGGTGGTGCCAATGCTGGTGCCCGGAAAAATGAGTAGGTTTATCAAACAAAATATTTTACAATAAAATTATTAATTTCACTTTCCTTTTAAGGTACTTTGTTCAACCCGTTATGTGGGTTAAGGCCCTTGATATTGTTATGGATCGTTTAGTTATGGAAGGTGCCGATTTGAGTACAGTCATGGCAATTGGCGGTTCGGCACAACAACATGGTTCCTTATACTGGTCACGTCACGGTATCGATACATTAAAAAATCTTGATCCAGATAAATTTATGCATTTACAAATCGATGATTCGGCATTTGTATTAACCCGTACCCCCATATGGATGGACGGTTCGACAGAGAATCAGTGCCTTGAAATGGAAATAGCTATTGGTGGCCCACAGGAAATGGTCAGCATTACGGGTAGTAAATGTTATCCACGTTTCACAGGACCACAAATCCGTAAAGTCTATCAACAGCGAACACATGCCTATGAAGATTCCAAACGCATATCGTTGGTTAGCAGTTTCTTGGCATCGTTATTTATTGGTGATGTGGCATCCATTGATTATGCTGATGCCTCAGGAATGAATTTATTTGATATTAATACGAAAACATGGTCCAAAGCGTGTCTGAATGCTTGTGCACCCGATTTGGAAGAACGTCTCGGAGTGGCTGTGAAGACAAATAGCATTTTGGGTAATATTTGTGATTTCTTTGTACAACGTTTTGGTATGCCGGCGGAGTGTCGAGTGGCTGCATTTACGGGTGATAATCCTTCAGCATTGTCGGGGATGTTGGTGGAAAAAGATTGGTTGGTCATGTCATTGGGTACCAGTGATACGTTGATGATGAATTTAGATCATCCACCTCATCTGGAGGAGGGTCATGTGCTGTGTCATCCCACCGAAGAAGATCAATATATGGGATTGTTGTGGTAAGTAGAAAAATATTAGTAGTGGCATTTCAAAATACCATGGCAAAAAATATTTGTTCCCTATTAATTACAGCTTCCGCAATGGCTCTTTGGTCAGAGATGCCATAAAACGTTCTGAGGCCCAAAACAGTTGGGAAACGTTTAGTGCCTTGCTGGACTCCACACCACGTGGTAATTATGGTAATATGGCTTTACATTTCCACACCATGGAAATAATACCCCAGGCCAAAGGTGTATTGCGTTGGAATAAATCTCATTCGGCAGCATCTCCTGATGCCGCGAAGGGGGTTCTCAAGTAAGTTAATTTGTATATTAAAGATTAAATGGTAGGAGACTTGAGTAACAAATAGCGCCCTTATAAAGCGGTAGTTAAATGGTATTCACTGTGAAAAAAAATGGAAGAGGTTGCATCTTTGGGATCCGATTAATAATACATGGGACGAATAGACTTTGCCTTTTTCTGTGTTATTAATAGAAAATTGTATGTTCGACTTCTTCAAGGAAGAGTCAGAAAAAGTTGTGTAGAGTGCATTGTGGGTCTTCAAAAGTCAGGATAGAAAGTCAATATCTTGGAGAAAAGGCCAGAAAGCCAATAACTTTCTTTGAGATTTTTCTGCCCGATCTTGTAATAGTGAAGGTTATATAAAAGAGATTCCCGTCAATCGAAAATTAAAAATTTGGCCGTTAATTGGGCAAACATTCGGCTCCATATATTAATGTGCATTTTCAGGAGACGGGATAACATTTAAGATTCGAGAGCCGATGAACTTTCCGTTTTGGCGTTTGCGACTGAATCGATCCAGATCGAGGTAATCGATGTTTTCGATAGGTTTCTATCAAACGAATATTAAGAGTTCCGTTCTCTGAATATCTTTTGCCTGGTGTGTCGTTAATTGGTCAAACCCTCTGATCGGGTTCGGGAGGTTCCCATCAATCGAAAATGAAATGAATATATGACATCATCGGTCCAGTTTGAGGTTATGGATGTGATTGGAGATCGAAAATGAGAAGAGTTCGGGACTTTCAAGGTTCCCGACTAAGGCCTGGTAGAACTGACAAACTTTCCGCGTTACTGTTATGGCAGCATAAGTCCATAGAGAGATTATGGATCTGATAAAAAATTCTCATCAATCGAAAATGAGAAGAGTTTGGGACTCTCAAAGTTCTCGGCTAAGACTTGGTGTGCCGTTAATTGGTCAAAACTTCTGCATCGAGTTCAGAGATTCCCATCAATGAAAATGAAGAGCGTTTAGGAACCTGAAGGTTCTCGGCTAAGGTCTAATTGTCCAGAATGTATGGTCATATATGAATGTGTAGACTGTATAATAGATAATTTTCGAAAACAGACGATCTTTCCGTATTGCGACGGTACATTCTGACTCTTCAGTTAACCTGTTCAGGATAATTATAGGGTCATATTCTCCTATTAAATTTCTACCTTTTGACCGTGTGAGCAATATGAAGGAGAACCTCCGTAAATTCCGGAGGAGAACGTCTGTAAAGAGTTCAGTCTTCTAAAGGTTCTAACAAGTCAAAAATACTCGGACTCTAATTTTTTTTTAAAACGAATGCAATTCGATGTTCTTATTCCGATTTGAATTAAATTAAATTTTGTATTTCAATATATAACCAATATTTTTATCCTCTCTTTCAGATTCACATCACCGGAGGCAGAAATAAGAGCATTGATCGAAGGTCAAATGTTACATAGACGTGCCATTGCCTCCGATATGGGTTTTCATTTTGGTAGCGAAACGAAAATCATTGCCACTGGTGGAGCTTCCGTTAATAAATCAATTTTACAAGTTATTTCGGATGTATTCAATGCACCGGTTTATATACAGGTATACTTCAAAGTCATCATCACTTCCATTACAAAAAAATTAAATTTCCATTTTCCTTATTTTACAGAAAGCCAGTGAGGCTGCCCTTTTGGGAGCTGCATATCGTGCTAAATATTGTGAATATTTAGCACAAACCAAAGATGAAACCAAAGCATCCGACACCGAGGCATCAACAGTCCTTAGCTATCATGATTTCATATTACCATTTATACCGAATCATGTGGAGCTGGTGTGTGAGCCCAGTAAAGATAGTACCGATATTTATACGCCAATGTTGGAACGTTATCGAGCCATGGCTAATGTTTTGCAAGAAAATAAATGATATTTTTCCAGAGATTAATTTTATTTGTTTAACACAAAATCACTCTCTCATAGACTTGATTAGAGAAATCTAACGAAAATTAAAACAAAAAAAGAACAGCAAACTAATTGAAAAAAATCATACATTCCTTTATATAATAATGTGTCTTGTTTCGAAGATATTACATATGGACTATCCATAAACATGTTGTTAATTTTTTAGTAAATCAATATTCTTTTAAAAATCTCCTACTTAAGTAAGCAAAAAAGTGCAATCGTTTTTTATTACAAATGAAAAAATAAAATAATTTTTGTTAAAAAAACAATGGTGTCATAAATGTGTCCTTTATTTTTTTATCATCATCATTTCTATTGTATTACAATAATATATATGTTTATGTTGCTATATTATTAGTTGAAAATAATTGCTATATGAAACACGATCGATTTTCAATAGTTCACTTTTTACGTCCACCACGTTCTTTGATTTGCAAATGAACTGTAGCTCCACTCAGGAGGTTATAGAAAGCCATTGTGTTGTTATCCTTAAAGAACATACCCTGAAATTAAGAAAAAAATAAATGATATAAGCAAAATCATCCTTCAAAATTGAATGAGAAATGCCTCTCAAATTTCCCATTGTCCTGATTTACATTAGGCAGGTTAAGATGCGCAAAAGTTGGTTTACATTGCTCAGGTTATAAGTTTAGTTTAGTAGGCTTGGTGGGCCAAATGAAGATGTGCAGCATAGTGTGCGGGTCAGCACCATATCATGGTGAGCCATTCTGCATATTGTCAACAAAACACTTTTCTTACGAATTCAAACAGGTCCTGAATTAACATCCAATTAAGAAATGCAGCTATCTAAATTGATGGGAAGACATTCTGCACACTGTCACACATCCGTGTCTGCTTGATTCTGAGCGTAATAGAGCCAAAATTGCCCTGTTTTTCCGGAAACTCGTCAGCTTGGTTGGGAATGAGTTCGAAGATGGATTCACACTCTGTATTTATTTAACACATCGACAATTGCATCAGTGTGAATGCTTTTCTGACTTGCTTGATAAGTTTCTTGATCAATAGTCTCCCGATAATATCGTTGAATCACTCCCCTCAATGTCATACATATCCTTAGGATGAATCTCTCTGAAGATAACAAGCAGATACGAAACAATCTTCGTTTTATCTAGATGGTTCACAGGTGTTGACAGGTCTGAATTGCGCAGCACTAGTATTCGTGGACCACACTGATACCGCATATCTGACCACATACCGACCAATCTTTTTATAAGTTATCAATAAGGTTTCCTTATCTGCATCCCGAGTGCTGCCGGTAAGCGACATATAAGTCCTTGTTTTTACTGTTGTGGTTTACACAGACCATTTAAACAGGCTTTCGAAGGTGACCTCCTAAGGTAGTTAGTGGTCGGAATTGTCTGCTCCTCGACGTCTACATTCAAAAGCATTTTCGCACATACGCTATGATCTATATGTCGCCTTGGAGGCGTGGGCAACGAATAGTTATAGTTACAACTCTGTATATATAATCCTACCAAGGAGAATCCACAACTTCGATTTAAGGGGTTTGTACTTATTATTCCGGAATTTATTTTCAGGTCTTCTATACTCCGAAGACCCTTTTCAGAACCTTTAGGAATACGTTCGCCAGACATTTTTTAGGTTTTTTTATAAATAAAATGCATTCCTCAGGTTCTTCAGTTCTAATGTTGACAGAGGTTCTTATTCAGGCCATCCCTAGAACACCTTCTTCAGTTCTATAAACAGAATATTTATTTCAGTTCTTATGTAGACAAAATTTTTTCTCAATTTATACTGTACACAGACGGCAATCGTCAGAAAATGTAGGTGATATGCAAATGGATAACTTTCCGTGGTGCTGGGGAGGTGTGATGCCTCACAAGTCTTCGTTACTGGCAACCAAATTGAAATCGGGGAGTATGACTTATCTTTTCTAGCATCCTTGACAGTCTTAAGTGGCGGGAACTTTAGAATCCCATCACATCTATGCGATAATACTGAAGCTATTCAGTATTATCGCAGAGATTTTGCGTTTCGATTTTTTGTGTAGTGGTATATATCTGCAGCAAGATATCTAATACGTCGTCGTACTCCTCTCTTCGCTCAAGCACTCTCGGGAAGCTCAATAAACTTCAAATTCACTAAGTAGATGAGAGAGCCTGAAAGTTTGCCACTCGCCTCAAACTTTTTACACAACACAAACATTTGGAGGCAATTAAAATTGCCAAAAGTAACTCAGGACTTAATGTGGAACTTGTTTAATAAAGCTACCAAAACTCACCTCATAAGAAATTTTCTGTTTGGCTGGTGGCATACCAGTCTCCTCTTGTATTTTACTTTTCAATAAAGTCACAGCATCTGTGAGGGCCAAGGTTACCGCAATGGTTTGACCATTTAATTTCCATTCTGATTTGTCAATAACGTTAGGAATTTGAACTTGTATTGTAATGGGACTCTAAAAAATTAAAAAAAAACTCATTAATTTTTTTTACAAAAATTCGTCGTTTAAAAAATCGAAACATACCTTGTGCATGGCTATAAATTCAGCTTCTGGTACCAAATTATCTTCGGAACGTAATTTCTTATTTGGTGGCTCATCATCGACAGGAATGGGCTGGGCCATTGGTATAATGTTTTGATCTAAGACAGCTGGTGCTGGGGTAATTGGTGGGGCGGCAGATGGTATGGGTGCCATATAACCCGGTACTGGGAATGGTGGCGCTGAAATCGATTGAAATTAACAATAAAAATCAAATAAAAACAATATTAAATGGGAATATTTACGCATCATGGGTGGTGGACGCATTTGCATCATCATAACTGGGGGTTGAGATGGCATATTATGCTGCTGTTGTTGGTGTGACTGTTGATTGGACGATTGATGTTGCTGTTGATGATGAGATTGATGTTGTTGCTGGGGTGGACCATGTGAAGATTTATTTTGGTTTTGATGTTGGCCACCAGATTTATTGCCCACGGGTTTGGGACCGATCTTCTCTTTCTCCTCATCGGGTAACAGACCTTTGACCTATAAAACCCAAAAATATTAACACATAATTACCCAAATATTGATTTCCCATACCTTGTGAATTTGATGAATCTGATCTTCCAAAGTAATGTTGGCCCGGGCTGCCCTTGTAGCTGCCTCAACACTTGATGTATGACCATCCCAAGTGACACGATCATCTTTTTTAGTTTCCTCTTCACCCAATTTCTTACCAATTACAGTTTCCTCATCACCCACACCGAAAATATCGGTACGACGTTCAGCCAACTGTTTAAGACTAGCCTCAATGGCTGTACCAGCTGCATAGACATTTTCTTGATTGATTTTCTCCACAGTATGTTTGTCACGTTGTTCTACCCAGCGTGGATCCAAAAGACCAATACGCATATGTTCGGCAACTTTAGATGCAGGAATTTTCTCGCCCGTAATTGGTGAAATAAGAAATTCATCTGTAGGCGTTGGTTTGACGGGCTTCGCCTGTGAAGCTTTAGGATCGTATTTCTTGACAACAACTTTATCGTGTGTCGGTGGCATGAGTGGTGCAACAGGTGGTTGCATTTTAGCCGTTGATGGTGACTCTTCGTCACTTGAAGCTTCATCCATATCTTGCACTTGTGTATTGTCTTTTTTCGAAGCTTGACTTTGATATGTTGCTTCCTTCATGTGAATACCAGTACGATTTTCCATTTGTGAGAGTTTAACAGCACTTGGTCCAGTAGTTTCTTCATCGCTGTCTTCCTCGTCGGATTCAATTTGCATTTCAATGTCACCTTCTTCCTCTTGTAAACGTTCCTCCATGAGGACACGAGCACCAACTTCTTCGGGTGTTGTGGGTGGTGGAAAATTACCCGTCTCGAATGGTTGATAATCAACAGTTTCGACCACAACGAAGTCATGCCAATCAATTTGAGCATATGCAACTGAAATGAATAAGATAGATTGGAGGTTTGAAAAAGGGATTTAAGAAGGTTATATATTCTATATATATAGAAGACTTATTTCGAGTCTTATATAGACATTAGACTCTTTTCAGGTCTTATAAGCAGACGACCTGCTCCAGGTTTTATGTAAATATAGAAAACCTTTAGGACGTCTATAGGTAGACTTTCTTCAACTCTATTATACATAGAAGGCGTTCTTCAGTTATTTTATAGACCGAACTTCTACAGTTAGGTGTACCATAGACAGAAGAACTTTTTCAAGACTTCAATAGACAGAATATTTTTTCAAGTATTTTATAGACAGAAGACTTTCTTTAGGTCTTCTATAAACAGAAAATGTTCTTCAGGTCTTCTATAGACATTTATTTACCTCTCTCCTTTTCCACCTTTTCCTCTTCACGACGTTTTTGAGCCTCTTGATGCCGTTGCCAGTTGGCACGATATTTCACCTGCTCCAACACGATATTCATAGAGACACGTTGGTTTCCACTTTCAGCGCGTAGCTTACCCAATAAATCTTTGGGAGGTATCAGAATTTTTGTATATTGTTCAAGGAGTTTAGTGAAATACTGGAATAATGAATGTTGTGGCCGTAAGAAATCGAATTGGAAATTACGCTGTTCACGATTCATGAGATTGGTCAAAAATTGACGACCATTACGGGCCACAAATTGGGCAGTCAACTTTACAATGTCCCTGGGCAAAAAGAAATGACAATCAGCAATTTTATTCAAAATAAGAAGTATGAATACTTACAAATCCAATGCAGATATTGATGGTGGATCTGCAATAAATTCAAATTCTGCCGGAGGATCTTTGGGTACAAATTGCTGCTCCGCGACTTGTTTCAATAATTCTTGTTGCTTTTGTTGGGCAGCACTTGTTACCGATAATTGTTTAATACCCGTCAAAACACTTGGGGCCGAGGCATCTGTAATAAAAATCATACTTTAATTAGTTTTGTATCATAGATAAAAAAATATAACCGCTACTTACCCTTGCCTTCCCTGAACTCATTCACCTTATGCCTATAATATGCATGATAAGGATCTCCAGAGCTCAAGAAATTAAATTTCGGATTGCCCAATTCATTTTGCCGGATTCGTGCCTCAAACTCGGGACCATTGCGTGCAACAAAACTGGCAGTTTTGTCGACAATATCTAAATTCGATTAAAATCAAAGAAAACTGAGTAGGGAAAACGAAAGCACATAATAATTTAAAGATAATAGTGATTAGTTGTTGTTTTTTGGAAAAGGATACTTCTAACCTCCGGTGGAGGATAGATAATGCCTATGATTGGCCCCGACATTGGTTTTGACTGTTGATTATTATCAACAGCCGTTTCGGCTTCTAGCGATGGCATGCTTGCGGTCTGTTTCTTTAATTAACTCTTCAGTTTCAGCGATTCCTGTTCAATTTTATTTTAAAATAAAATCTAATAAACTATTGTAGAAAATTCGTCAATATAAACTTCTCCAAAAGCGTTTGCCTGCCTGAGCATGGAAACGTTTGACAGCTGCCAACGATATACCACACAATAAAAGCGAAAGCGTCAAGCATTTGCCGGCTGATAATAAGGGTTGTTCGCACTTTGTGATATGTTTAAGTTAAACAATTTGAAGCATATAAAGAGTTGCCACATAAAACTTAGAATATTTAAAAGCGTGATTATTGTAATAGGCGTGTATTTTAAAGAATATTTATTCAGCTACTAAAGGGCCAATAGGCGAGGATTATTAGAGAATATTTTTCAACTACCGTAAGGCAAATAGGCTTGGGGTTTTAGAGAATATTTTTTCAGCTACTAAAGGGCCAATAGGCGTGGGTTTTGGAGAATATTTTTTTCAGCTACTAAAGGGCCAATGGGCGTGGGTTTTTGGAGAATATTTTTCAACAAATATAAGTTTAATAGGCGTGGATTTTTAAAATAATATTTTTAACTACTATAAGTGGAGTTTTAAAGATTATCTTCAATAATTTCTTTAAATCCCATTCCAATGAAGATAGCCGCATCAATATTACATTTAGATTAACATAATCCTAAGATTGTTCTCTCTTAATTTGATTTCATTTAAGTTATCGAACAACATCGAAAAAATAGTCGAGACTGGTCTCAGTATAATATGTATGTGGAAACAAAAAAGCCCCGAATGAGCACATTTCTATGTGAAAATAAATCACTTGGAAAATTCGTGGACTATTAAAGACCGCGTTTTTTTTAATACCTGTCAATATAAGCGAAAATATAGTACAAACACTAATAAAATCTAATTTGTGAGAAATCGATTACCGCCTATCAACGTTTGTGTACGAAACCGGTAGATGCATCTAACTATTTAGCGAAACTAAAATAAAATTAAAGGATGTGCATATTTTGCATGACAATAAATAAAAATAACAGAGTAACACGTAAAAAGAAGGGGATTATATGGGCGATATCCTAAAAAATGGACAAATATCGATCATTTTAGTTAAGAAGATACCAAAATATCTAATATTTTGGATACCTTTAGATTGATATATGCAATTTTCAATACCAAGCAACCTAGGAATAATAGCAATGTGTGTGCAAAGCTCTATCTTGAATATTAAGTTCGGACGTGGACATTCAAAAATGCAAGGAGCAAACGAAATATGAAACTACAAACACTCAAGAGGAAAATTTGGGGATCGAAACATACCGAATAACTCGCGTGATATTGTTTACCCACGAAAGTCAATTAGTAATCCCTTAAATACCAAGGATAAAAAGTTATATGGGGGCAATACCGAAACGTTAACCTATATTTTGTAATAGGAAGTTTTGCCTCACTATAGACAGACAAAAATAATAATTTATTTAGTTAACAAGTTGAAGAGGTGCAACAGATATTGCTCTACTGCCGTAGCGACTGCGTCTGTGTGAATACCATTCATACCTGCTTGATAGGAATCTTGATCTAGAGGTTCGATTTTATCTTTGGGCCTCTCTCTCTCTACATCAGTTAGTTCTGTCCATAAGACTATGACAAGGGCGTTCCCGACGAAATATAATTGTGTCGATAGACGAGTAAGATCATGAAGATGATCCACTGGAGTCATCAGAACACACTCTGGTGCAGTCCTCTGGGCAGCATTCTGGCAGGTCTGGATATTCTTCCATTGCATATAACTTACATTCGTAAATTACATTGGCGCCGCATGGCTTACCACTGACCAGCCTGTTGCTTTATAAGAGGTATTTTCAGAGCCCAAAGTGCTGCCGGCTAGTGACTAGAGGACCTTGTTCCTACTTGTCAACTTACCGCATAAAGGAGTGGCTTCCGAAGACGATTTGAAAATGTCGAACGTTCTAGTGGTCGGAATTAGAATTGGCCATTGTGTTTAGCGAGAGCTTCATCAGTTATGTGGTGAATAGTTTGGTTGTTAATTTTGTGGCGGATATTTTCATATTCCTCAGATGGAAGAAATTTACGAGATCAGCTATGCAGAAGTTTAACCTCTCACAAATGTCATCAATAATGGGACCCGACGCCATGGTCGTACAATCATCCCCATACATTACGATATCTATGCCGTCCAGTGGTTGTGGAATATCACAAAGGTAGAGTTCCGGAGATATGAACCCTCCTTGGGGAACTCTCTGTTGCACTCTACAGGGTTTAGACTTCCTGTTTCTGAATTCCACATACGAACATCATATATAGTTGATTATTCAACGTTTAAAAAACGGTCGAAATTTTGTCTTCTCTATATCCTCTTCAGGGATATAGCATGTCATGGTTGACGGTATCGAAGCCAAGTCCTCTGCTTATATGTGTGGAAATGGCGTGTAATGCTGTTGTTGTGCTGTGCATCTTACGGAATCCATGTCGATATTGATAATATTTGGTAGGAAGGGGTTAGGCTTATATGCCTGGCATCCAGCCAGTCTTTCGTAGCATCCTCCTGTCTTATGTATACTTTAAAGAGTGTGAAAAAGTTCAGTTCAGCCCTATTGAGTCAACAGTTTTAGATCCTTTTTAGGTCCTACGTATTAGCGTCGCTACCACAGCTAATGAATGCATTTCTTCCTGGCCATATTTTGATTAATTTGTACCAGTGGGAGAGCCACGGAAAGGCACAGCATCATGTGGATCTAGTCTGATACAATATGGTTTACAGAATCTCATGTGGTGAACAGTGACATGTTATGTTGTCTTCTCTGCTGTCTCTTTTGTGGTTAATCTGAATCTCTATGGATTTAATATATCGTTTTACTTTATAATAAAAAGGCATACTCATTAAGAGCTTTTTTGTGATGTAGGTTTTTGTGTTCAGATCGGGAATACCCTCTCACCTATGGGTACAATGTTATGTGGGGTGCCGCAAGGCTCGGTATTGTCTCCCCATCTATATAACATTTCCATTAACGATTTCCCTCATGAAGTATATGGATCAAAGGGTATACTTTTTGCCGATGATTCTCTTCTCTTGGCACATGATGAATCTCCATTGGATGCACTACAGCGTGTCTCAACGCATCTTAATGAAGTAAGCAATTTTTATTCTGATTGGGGTATCAAAATTAATGTGGCTAAAAGTAATGCTATATTACTAATTTACAAAGTAAGTTTAAGGCCGGTACTCCTGTATGCCTTCACTATTTGGTTTAGCATTTCGCCTACAACAATGAAAAAATTTGAAATTTTTGAGCGTCATGTGCTTCGGAAGTGCATAGGTCGAAATTTTCAATTGCCCAATACACGTTTTTAATGATTTTATTTATACGTTAATATTTGTTTTCAAAATTAATAGAAGATTTGTCTAAAGAGTTTCATTTCTACGAAAGTATTTAATTAATGGTTTGGTGCACAACATTGACAAAGTGACATATCACAAATTTAATTGTGTTTGCGACAAACCTCGACATATGAATGTAGTAAATTATAGGCTTTAAAATTATTGAAGTGTGTATTTTCTCTTATTTGTGTACGGCCTACTGCAAGAACGGTTAAATAATGTACATAATACATGTTATTGCATACGTTAAAAAGGTGAAAATATGGATGATGAAGATTTTCCAAGATTTCGAAACGTTATATACAAATTTTTCCAAAAAAAAAAAAAACATGATTTTCACTTTCTTTTGGAAAGTACAAAGTTTTTAAAATAGGGTGGTGAAATAATCTCAAACAATGCAATTAAAGAATGTGTAGGGTTTTCCATATGGGACAGACCTGTTACTTTTGAAGCTTTTACTTTTGGACATTCGACAAGTAGAAAATACTTCATTACTTAAATTATTAAAATTACAAGATATTGAAAATCACCACAGTCACCGTTCGCAAAATTTAAACTACTGTGATCTGGCAAATAGCTTCGCGACAACAGCACCCACATTAATTGGGTGGTTTGATATGGACCACTTTTATTTTGAACAGGAATTTTGAAACCCATTTTTTCTTTTGAAATATAGGTCCATGTTTTGACGTAGCCCTCACATAAAGGTAAACCATTATAGGTTTTTGTTAAACAGCATTTTCCCACTGAAGAGGTTGTAATTTCGATTCCGGGTTTTTGAATGGAGAAACGTATCTTGTCAAAAATGTTCAATATATATTTTTTTGTCATAGCCCCCAGTTTCCCGTCTCATTTTCGACATTTTGAAAGTTTTGTTGAATTTCCTCACCGAAGTGTTGTAACTGTAATATCAAGACGTATTTGAAGACAAATTTTGATGGAGGTGTGCGTTTTGGACCGCGGCCCCTATAAAGACGGTATTTTTTTAAAAAATGTTCATGACAAGCATATCGTAAATTTATTATAAACCAGTAAACGGAGTAGTATAGTCGAACATTCAGCGAATTTAAATACCGAGCCAATAATTCGCGATATTTGCACCTTATTGAACGATAAGAGGTCAACAGCTCATCCTTCTTAACCTTTTCGAATCGAAATTTGATATTTTAGTCTCCTTCCCATCTAATCGAAATTTGATATTTTAGTCTCCTTCCCATCGCATACAAAGTTCTATCCAGCGAACAGTACGAACGACTGAAGCCAGTGAGCAATGACATTATTGGACCATACCAATGCAGTTGGCAAATCCACCACTGACCAGATTTTCACTCTGCGCGATATTTAGTTAGGCGCCATATTTAGTATCCTGGAAAAGACACATCGACATATCCGGCTATAAAGCGGCATTCTACAGCCCTGTCCATTTTGAGGTGTTTAAAGCCAAGTTTGCGTTCGGCATTCCTGCAAAATTAATACAGCAATGCAGGTTAATTTTACCTGCTACAAGATCAGCAGTTTAATTCGGAAAGAATCTATCGGAGCTCTTTAATACCAGAGGCAGAGGTGAACAGAAATTGCACTCTGTACACCAAACAACATACCGATGACATACAC